CTCAGGTACATGCCCTTGACCAGAATCGAACTTGGGACCTTTCAGTCCACAGACCTAAGCTCTACCACTGAGCCAAACCGGTTTCGGCATGACTACCTACTTTTACATTTATAGTATGGCAAGGTTGAATTAGTAATAGGAAGAAAAATTTAGGGAAAAATTTCAAGCTTTTACAAGAGAGCCTAGAGCTTTCTGTAATGTTTCCATTTGTAGGTAAACCCACACCCTCAATCCTTCCTAAATCCGAGCCTGGACAGATATCCCTAAAAGACACATAAGTGCTCCTACTATGACAGTTGTTTTACTAGCCACAACTTTCCTAAGACAACCTTCATATTTGAAACAGTACGTTTCCCTGTGAACAGGGAGAACTGGGTAGACCAAAAGAAGCAGGTTATGCATAAAGGACACTCACCGGCTGGGAAGTCGACTCAGTGGAATTACAAAGTGGAAATAAGGCCCCAGACGGATCACGACAAAGGATGTCTTGTCCTGAACTCAACTGCTCATTACATTTCAGAAAATTAAACTCTGTCTTTCCAGCTTGGGCCACGCACAGATTGTAGGAATAAGGTAAAGTGCCTTCACTGTAGATGGGGGGAACCACAGGTGCAGACTTGACACAGAGACCAGGTTGAAAGCAGCCCCAGGTGGTGGGGCTAGAGGGGCGTCGAAGGCGCAGGGCGACCGCCAGAATCACCGCCAGGAGGAAGAGCACTGAGATCAAGGCCAAGGCCACCACCAGATAGAACTGCAGCTCAGCCTGGGGGTCAGAGGGCTCAGGACTTTCGCTGAGGTCTGGCAGCACCTCTTGTAGACTATCAGCAAAGACCAGCAGCAGAGTGGCAGTGGCTGACAGGGGTGGCTGTCCCCCGTCCCGCACGGCCACCAGGAGGCGCTGGCGGGCCGCGTCCCTGTCGCCCAAAGCCCTGGCGGTGCGCACTTCGCCCGTGCGCAGCCCCAGGCTGAAGAGCCCGGGCTCGCTGGCCTGCAGCACGTGGTAGGACAGCCAGGCATTGTGTCCCGAGTCGGCGTCCACCGCCACCACCTTGGTGACCAGGTAGCCCGGCTGCGCGGCGCGCGGCACCGTGTCGAAGAGCGCGGAGCCGTCGGGCCCCAGCGCCGGGTACAGCACCCTGGGCGCGTTGTCGTTGCGGTCGCCCACCAGCACGCGCAGGCTCACGTTGGCGCCCAGCGGGGGCGAGCCCTGGTCGCGCGCCTGCAGCGTCAGCTCAAAGGCGCGCAGCTGCTCGTGGTCGAAGGCGCGCTGCGCGAACACCACCCCGCTGTGCGCGCTCACCGACACGTAGGACGACAGCGCCCGCGGCTCCAGGTCGCTGGCCACGATGGAGTAGGACACCTGGCCATTGGATCCCAGGTCGGGGTCCGAGGCGCTGACCTGCGCTATGGAGGCCCCTGGCGGGTTGTTTTCTGGCACGTGGACCAGGTAGGCTGACTGCTGGAAAACCGGGGCGTTGTCGTTGACGTCTGTGATGTGCAGGGTGATGGTGGTGCTGGAGGAGAGGGGCGGCTTGCCCCTGTCTGTGGCTGTGATGGTGACATTGTACTCTGGGGTTTGCTCTCGGTCTAGAACTCCGTCTGTCACTAATTTATATGTGTTTCTCGAATAAGTTAGCAATTTAAACGGAACCTCACCTTCTAATTTACAAGTAATTTCTCCATTGTCTCCAGAATCCTTGTCACGGACTTTCAGTAAAGCAATGTAGGTTCCTAGCCTGGTGTCTTCCGTAATCAGATCTGTGAGAGACTGAAATATTACTTCTGGGATATTATCATTTACATCTAGGACTTCTATCTCCACAGTACATTGGGCAATCATTCCTCCACCATCCCTTGCTTCCAAAACTATGGAATATTCTTTGACTTCCTCAAAATCTAGCGTCCTTCGAGTAGTAATTTCCCCAGTAGTAGAATCCAGGTCAAACTGGGTGATCTGGCCTGCTTCAGTGAAAGAGAAGGTGATCTCCGCATTGACGCCCTCATCCTGGTCGGTGGCCCTCACTCTAAGCACAGTGGTGCCTGGGAACACGTTCTCGTGGAGGCCTACCCTGTACAGCTCTTGGCTGAACACCGGAGGGTTATCATTGGCATCAGTGACCTGGATCTGGAGCTCAATGGTGCCGCTTAGGGGTGGATCTCCACCGTCCAAGGCAGTGAGGACTAATCGATGATAGTTCTGTTGTTCTCGATCTAAGGGTTTCTCCAATATCAGTTCTGGGTATTTACTACCATCTGGCTTCTCCTTGTTTGTCAAGGAGAAACTAGGACTTAGAGAGAGTTTGTAATTCAGCAGAGAGTTTAAGCCAATATCTCCGTCTTTTGCTACTTCTAATATAAATCGAGTGCCTGGCAGGGTAGACTCGCTTATTTGCAGCTCAAAGGAATTTTGCATGAATTTGGGAGGGTGATCATTAATATCTTCGATCTCCACATTCACGTGGTAAAAGTTCAATGGCTTTTCAGCAACAGCCTCAAATTCCAGAGCACATATTGGCTTCTTCCCACATATCTGCTCCCTGTCCAGCCTGCTGCTCACAAGTAACTCCCCGCGCTCTGCGCTCACAGTGAAGTAAGGCTTCTCAGAGCTGACGCGCAGTTTCCGAGTGGGTAACTCGCGGACACTGAGTCCCAGGTCCTTGGCCAGGTTCCCCACCACCGAGCCCTCGGGCATTTCCTCGGGAATCCGGTAGCTGAGCGGCTCAGACAGCGCCGCGGGGCAGAACAAAGACAGCAGGAAGGGAAAGAGCACTGGCCGCCGCTCAGCCCAGCCCCTGTCCCCAGCGCCGCTCCCCATCCCTCTTGCTCCCCTCAGCGCGCTCACCGGCCTGAAGACGCCGGATGACCAGTGATCTCTGTGTGGTGGATGTCCAGAGCTCCGAACAGCCTTTAGTTCCTGCGTGAGGGTCAGGGATTCTTCTCTTCCAGAGGAGGGAGCGGTGGAAAGCCTAGCTCTAGCAAGTGAGCTGAGAAAGCGAGCTGCGGCTGCGCGAGGCTATCACCAGCGCAGAGCTCTCCACTCTGGCCAACAGCGGCGCCCAGAGTCCTCACTGTGAAACTGCAGCCTCTGCAGCTCCAGGCAAACCAGCTACAGTAATTATGAGCATGCACTGGACTAAACAAGCCTTTTTTGTTACTATATTTACATATTAAAGTATAAGACCTTTAAGTTATCTGTACTTTTGTTTTCAAATTATTAGACATATCGTATTGGGTTTTTATACAAACCTACACGTACTAATCCTCAAAAACTTCTTTCTGATAATATAAATACCGTTTATAAAATTAATATTTTGTTACTGTTATGACTATCTCAGGAAATATTCATTCCATAAATACTGTCCCTATGATGTAGCCAATCCATGGTTTACCTTCTTCTTCATATCTCAGAATTACTTGGCTTATGTCATACCGCATGGAGTATGTAAAAGTTACTGGGGAAATGTTTATCTATTCTTTAATATAAACTCACAAAGGGATATTCCAGTAGAATGCATTACTTCCTTATCTATGCACCTATGTTGTACTGACGTAATGACTGTGAAATGGAAGGAGCTGAGCTCATGCTAAGTTTACTTAAATACATTTATTGAATATAGAGATATGTGTTCTATTAATCTTACTTCATTAATTTTTTTTTACAATTGGTGAATGATTTGACCAAGAGATAGAATTTTATTTTTTATCAGGGCAACTTCCCACATACTTTTTAAATTTGTAAAGTATCAATAATATATTTGTCCCCTCAAAAAACTATGCATCCAAACACTACAGAAAATATAAAGTTAACTCCCATCCACTGTATACGCAAAATAGGAGGGAACACTGCACTATCCTTGGGAAATGTCTTTTTTATTACTAACAAATATTTTATTGAATTTTCTACTTACACTTGATGACAAGCCAGAGTTAACTTCATTAAAATGCTATAACAAGCCCTGGCTGGTTTGGCTCAGTGGATACAGCATCAGCCTGTAGACTGAAGGGTTCCCAGGTTTGATTCTGGTCAAGGGCACATGCCCAGGTTGCAGGCTCAATCCCCAATGTGGGGCATGCATGAAGCAGCAAATCAACGATTCTCTCTCATCAATGATGTTTCTATCTCTCTCTTCCTCTATGAAATCAATAAAAAATATATTTTAAAAAATAAAATGCTATAACAAGGAATACAGAAACCATAAATATAGTCCAGATGGAATCAATTTTAGTTGTTTAACTTGTTTAGAATTTGTGTTCATGAAACTTCTATTCTTTAAGCCAACATTCTCAAACTCTCTTACCTTGAGTACACATTTCACAAGGCTGCACCATGAAAACAATTCATTAGAACTCTACTGAAACATGGGATTCTGTATTTTACAAAAGTCTCTTTCAACAGTTTAAAATGACATTTTATTTTAGGCTTGATTTTGTTGTTTTGTATTTTTTGGGGGTGTGGGGAAAGGAGCAATGTCTATTTTGGACTTTAGATTCCATGTCTCCATTTGTGTGAGCCTGGGTGAACATTGACACACAAACTCAACATTAGGGAGAGTCAAACCATTTAAAATGTGTTTACATTTTGAAATATAAGAAGCCTTAAAGTTGTGAAGGGTAAAGTTGTGAATGAATACACAGTGTTAAGAAAATAGATTTAAAAAGTAGGAATCTTTCAGAGCTTAGTTTTAGGTTCAAACTGTAAACACATGCTAAAATTCTGTCATGTATTTTATTTCTACTAAGATAATCCAAGGATTTAGGAGTCTCAATAATTTTCTCTCAGTCCTAATTTAGGAATTAATATTCTTATACAGAAAACAAATTTAACTTCTGTATTTGGGCAACTACTTAATGTGAATGAAAGGTAAGTGATAATTATAATTGCAGTAAAATATGGAAGGCTTTAAAAGGTTGAGAGTTCACATTTAAACAATCATGTCCAATCCTTGGGAAAGCAAATAAATCAAACTATGATAACTAGAATTCAATTTTGTAGCATCACCACTAAAATAACTTCTATATTTAGGGTATACCTTAAAAATATTTTAAACTTTCTGCATAATACATGTTTCAAAACACATAGACTTATAAAGAAAATAGTGCATCTGAGAAATAATGTATTGATAAACAAAAACTGAACTCACCTGAACTGAAGCAGCTTCATCCTTACCTTCTTGAAAATCTATGGGTGTTAACAAGGAACCATTTTTTTCACAGCTCTCATGGCTTATGAGTGTATGTGCATAGTTAGGCTGAGGGAAGATCAGGTGACTCTTCCCTGAGTCTGCAGTGAGAGAGACCTCATGGGAATAGGTCTGAAGGAATGCCTGTACTCCTTCCATCCCCAGAAAGCTTGAGGCAGGCAAGCCCACCAACCCTCTGCCCGAAGCCTGGAGTATATGAGACTTATGCCATCGCCATAGTCTGAGCGCCAGCAGAACAACCACAAAAGCAAGGAAGACACAGGAGATAATGGCCACGGCCACCACCAGGTACAATGTGAGATCTGAGTCTTCAGAGTTGTCAGGGTTCTTGATGTCATCCAGGCCAGCCAGGACGTCTGGGATACTGTCAGCCACAGCCACAGTGAGGGTGACAGTGGCAGAGAGAGGGGGCTGGCCATGGTCCTGGACCACCACCACCAGGCTCTGCTTCAGCATGTCTCTGTCCAGCAGGGCCCTCGCAGTGCGCACCTCTCCTGTGTGCAGCCCCACCATGAAGAGCCCTGGCTCACTGGCCTTGAGCAGGCGGTAGGACAGCCAGGCATTCTGGCCAGAATCTCTGTCCACTGCCACTACCTTGGTCACCAGGTAGCCAGGCTCTGCAGAGCGGGGTGCTAACTCCACACCAGTGGATCCATCATTGGGGAGCGAGGGGTAGAGAACTTCAGGTGTGTTGTCATTCTGGTCCAGAATGAACAGACTCAGTGAAACATTGCTGCTGAGTGGAGTGTCCCCGCTGTCCCTGGCAGTCACCAGTAGCTGCAGGTCTCGGATCTGCTCATAGTCAAAGGAACAAATCGCATACAGCACACCGGTGTCAGAGTTGATGGAGACATAAGAAGAAAGAGGTGCCCCCATGAAGGTGTCCTCAGTGAGAGAGTAAGTGACTTGGGCGTTCTTGCCACTGTCAGGGTCATGGGCGGTCACAGAGAAGATGGAGGCTCCTCTGGGGTTGTTCTCCGGGATATAGGCTGAGTAGGAGGCTTGAGAAAAAGTGGGTGGATTGTCATTGGTGTCTGCCACATGCAGGGAGATATGAGTTTCAGTAGATAAAGGTGGGGTTCCTAGATCTGAGGCCATCACTGTGATATTGTACATGGAGGTCCTTTCTCGGTCCAAATGCTTCCATGTCACTAATCTATAATAATTATCTATTGATTTTTCTAATTGAAAAGGTAAATTATCATGTATGTAACAAACAACTTGACCATTCTTTCCGGAATCCCGGTCATGCACATTCAAGAAGGCAATTACTGTTCCAGGAAGAGTATTTTCCAAGACTGGGCTAAACAAAGATGTAACAATCACTTCCGGTCTATTGTCATTTATGTCTTCTAACTGAAAT